TCAGAATTCTGACTTTAATCTCAGAATTCTGACTTTTTTTCCCCAGAATTCTGATTTTTTTCCCCATACTATACCTGAAATAAAATAAAAAAATCAGTTAACTTTTTTTTTTTTTTCCAGTGGCCCTAATCCTCTTCCGTACGATTGAAACTATGGCACTGAAGTTTATAATTAACGGCTTAAAAAACCTTTTTTTCTTTTTTTTAACCATTTTATAAAATCAAAATGCATGAATAGTACCCAAGTTAAGCGATTTCTTTGACAATGACTTAAAAATGAATCTTTATCCTTTTTTACACTTAAAAGCAGAGCTAGACTCTTTCATTGATTACAAAAATGCCCTAAATGTATTTCCAGTCTTTTTTATTTATTTATTAGAAACTGTTACATACATGTTGTCCAAGAACTGCTGCCAATACTGATTTCATATAAACAGAAGTGAAAAATAACCAAACATACTTCTTAGTCGTAGGTTCACATTTTAGTCCCATTTTGAGTGAAAAGTTTTGGCATTATGCTACTGATCATTTCTAACAATCTGGAAAGCTTTACATGTGTTTGGGAGGACATGGTCATATATACATCTGTCACTAATTGAACACATCGGATGTTATCTGACTGCTTTGATAAAGTCTAAAATACTGTCAGACTGCTTTCATCTGCACCTTTTAAGGCTTTTTTTTTTTAACTCTAATTTCTACAAAAGTTCAGTCAGCTTAAAAAAAAGTGTTTTGGCAGAAATAAAAATACTGATACACAGTCTGTAAAAAGAAATCACTTTTTCATTGCCATGTTTAAAAAGGTGCTGATTGAAACTAACTTCCAAGAAGCAGTTTGCTGTTGGTCTTTGACGGGAAGAGGTCAGGCGTGGCGGTGCTGGTCACGGGTCGACCCAGAACCACCACCGGTCTGAGGTACTGTAGCTGCTTCACGGCCAGGTCCCCACACCCAGCCAGGGCTCTGTCCAGGATGGACTTCAAGTTTTGTACCGAGGTGAAGTTTCCATCCTCCGGGGGAGAATGAGTGCGTTTGCTGCGGGTGTGAGAGACTCCCAGCTGGTTGTTCTCCTTCACAGAGCAGCTGCGTTTCAGAGCGTCTCCACTTTTCAGCTCTTCCTCCGTTTCTATCGGAGTTTTTTCTTGAATGAACTGCAAGAACGAGGACTCGAAGCCCATGGGCTTGTAGGCAGCGATGTCAAAGGGGCTCGGCGAGGGGCTTCTGGGCTTGGTTTCTTTGCAGCTGAACGGTTGTTCCAACTGTTCGTTTTTCCGTTTCAGGGGCATGCGAACAGGAGCGGAGGGCGGCGGTGTTGGGGGTGGTGATGGCGTGGGAGGGGGCGTCGAGGTGTTTGTTTCAGCGCCATCTTTGTTGCCTGTCTCAGGAGAAAAATGCAGCGAGCACGGAGGTGAAAGGTCTACAGTGACCGGGCGAAGAAGTGGTTTAAATTTGTCTAATATGGATCTTTCATCCGGTTTTGTCTGTGGAGGAGTAGAAACAGGAAGCTCCTCAGGAGCCTCCTCCTTGATCAGTTCATCTTCCGGCGTCTCGTTTGCGGCCTCGCTTTTCTCATCGGGTGGAGCCTCTTTTTTTTCCTCTTCTGGTGGATCTAGAGGCTCACAACTTTCCTTGTCCTCTGATGCAGCTTCCAGCGCAGGAGGAGTCAAAGGGGGAGGCTGCTCCTCCTCTGCTGCCTCAGCCTGGAGCTCCGTTTTCGGAGCCTCTTCAGGTGAGATTTCTCCGCTGACGGCTGGCCTGGCGGACTTCGCCTGGATCAGCACCTCCAGCTTCTCGGCGGTAAAAACAAGTTTGTCTTCATTTTTGTAGAGATCTTCTCGATACATGCGGTGAACCGCCAGGTAGTGGCGGTGCAGGCTGTGCAGGTAGGTGACCACCGAGTCGCAGTCTTGGACCATGCACGGGTAGGCCGTACGCAAACAGCGGTCCTGACACATCTGTAGTGCTTCCTCGTGAGATCTAAAGACGAAACTGCTAAACAAGTTGTGCTTTCGTCTGCCGCTTTTCCCCGACGCCTTTTTCACATCGGCACCGCTGTCATCCTTCTCTTCCGACTGCGTCGTCCCTTCAGACTCCGAATTCTCAGTGGTGGGCAAAGACGTTTCTTCCTTCTCAGGACTCGTTGGCGTAACGATCACCTTCTTCTGGCAGCCAGTTACTGACTTCTTGTGTGTGCTCTGCAGCCGTAGCACCAGGGAGTCGTAGTACTCGTAGTGACTGTACAGAGTGTGTTTCTTAAGGGCCTCGTTGTGGCTGAAGACCCTGGAGCAGCCGTCGAATTTGCATCGTATGAGCTCAGGAGGCCGAGAGTGAACGTCTCGCGTGTGCCGCACCAGACTGCTTTTAAGGTGGTAGGAGGCGAAACAGTTAGCAAAGTGACATTTGAACTGCGGCTGAGGTTCGTCAGAGTTTGTGAGAGGTCTTCTCTTGGAAGGCTCCCGTCTGGCTTCCGGGTTGGCCGGCACCTCGCCGTCTTTTTCCAGCAGGAGC